TTATCTAGTTGGTAAACTCAGTCGCTACAAACACACACAACAAAAAAGTCTCAACTAAAATAGAAAACACAGCGAGAAATCTGTGGAGATGGACAATGTAAAGGAAGAAAAATATTTAACTTGAAAACTATTGTAATTATATTCCATCCGTGATGGGCGTGGCTCAGTGGTACGTTTTTCGGGCTGTACGGTCCAAGGTTCGAGCCGCGATATGCCGCTGAACACGCTCTGCACTAATAAAAAATACAGAAACTCTCCATAGCAAATAGATAAATAAATGAAGGTTATTTTAAATTTTTGTTCTATAAAAAGCTGGTTAATCGCGAGGCATAAGGTGCGTTTTAGTTTGAAAATATCATATTAAACTTTCCATGACTGATAAAATATTGTTCAATTATATATCTTATCAGTGGAAAACCGCTTTATTAGCATATTCATTATTATTGTTACTTTGCAGGAAGAATAACATTTTCGATAATATGATGGTTATGATGGAAAAATATGCCTACAATTTAGAAGGTTTGGTCCAGGAGAGAACTTATCAGCTGATGGAAGAGAAGAAGAAAACGGAAAACTTACTTGCCCGAATGCTGCCGAGGTACGTTTCTTTGTTTGTTTAGCACAAAGCTACGCAATCTGAGTTTCGATACCCGTGGTGGGCAGAGCACAGATAGCCCATTGTGTAGCTGTGTGATTTGTTTGTTTGTAATTAAGCACAAAGCTACACAGTGTACTATTAGTACTCTGCCCACCACGGGTATCGAAACCCAGATTCTAGCGTTGTAAGCCCGCAGACATACCTCTGTGCCAATGGAGGGGTGTTTTACAAAATAGGCTATCTGCGTTCTGCTTCTTCTCCTCCCCCCGTCGGGAAATCGAACCCTGGATTTCAGCTTTGTAAGCCAGTAAACTTACCGCTGATCCACCGGGGAACGCAGTGTTGATAGCAAGTTGAGCCTGAATGTTTGAAGATGTAACGGATTATTATTATTATTATCTGAACTGTTAAAGATGAACATACTATGAACATGATTGAATTTAGTAGAATAAGATCGTAGTTTTGTTTAATATTGCCAAATTAATTAACATGATATGGACAGAAATAACTTCGAAATACATACGTAACAATGTAATGTTACTTTTACGGTAGAAAAATATACCATTGGAATATTATTTTTCACTTAGCACTAGAACCTCGACACTATGGTCTGTCAGAAAGATTACTTCGACTCGATACTTATTCTATAGCATTCTTAAAGCCCGCTTGAAGGACCAATAACAGCTTCTAGCGTTAACAATGCTGAATTTTGGAAAACGAATACGACCGGTCTAACGAAATCGTGGTTAAGTAAGTAATAATATAAGGACCGGTGATTATTGTTTTCAACCAATTAAACCTTTTCTCAGTTTCTCACTGTCTGAAGCCAAGCGTGACCTTTATTCTCCGTGTACGTCACCTATGGCTTACGGCTTTTGCCCAGTAAGAATTTTCGTAATATCGATATTAGTTTACCTAATCTGTTATTATTTGTAATATGTATCAATTATTTCTGTTGCTTGTTTACTTTCATTCGGTCTTATAATTCGTAAGATAATAAGCCGATGGTTTCGTTCATTTAACGAATTTATGAGTAGCCTATATCAATGTTTCTTAGAGTGGAAGCTGCGGCCCCCTGTTGGCCGTAAAGTTTTTTCTGGTGGGCCGCAAAAAAATGGGTCGAAAACAAAGATGCTGAATTAATCTTAATTTTAAATAAACAATGAGACGATAAATATTATGTTGAATTAATTAAATGATACAGTATGTCGAAAGATGTTATTGTTTTAACCACACCACCGTTTTTCAATCACCATTCTAAAGTTGGGGGTCCTCAAACTGTTTGATTTACATCAAGGGAGCCTCAGACTAAAATATTTTGGGGACTACTGGCCTCTATTATATATTCTACCTCACTTTTGAGATTCTCCCCAGGGTCTTGGTACAGATAGCCCATTGTCTGGCTTTGCGTTCAACAACAACCAAACCACTTTTGAAATTTCGCAATTTCTGACATTTATATCTATTACCATATTGCCCAGAACCGGGAGTATATAGTAATTTCTTCCATTCGTTCGGGAATACACTTTTATTTACATTGATATTCGGTTTATGAATAGTTTGAAGACGAAAGAAAGGCGTGCCAGTAGGCTTAATGATATAACTTCGCTTAATGATATAACTTCGCTTAATGATATAACTTCGAACATTTATTAAGACTCTCCACAACATGGAGTCAGTTTATATGACTTACATACTGGTTTTTCATACTGAAGCGTTTATGCCCAGCAAAAGTATATTACAAAATTCATTGTTAACTTACTTTATTTTTTCTATTAGGCCTAATTTAAAAAAAACAGTAAATTGCGTCAAATTGACCATAAAAGAAATGGCAACAGACTTGAGACCACGTTACTTCTCATCAACAGCATGACGCATGCAGTCATGATTGTCAAAAAATAATTTAAGTAACCAAAGTAAGAGTGGTCATATGACAGCTTTATACATGCTCGTTTCTTATACGTTACGGTCGATACTCCAGATACTTCACAACAGGAAGTATGTCGTGTGATAAGTCGATACACCAGATACTTCACAACAGGAAGTATGTCGTGTGAGCTGGATATTTTCGATCTGCCCATCTCAGGGCTCGAACACAGAATTTTAGCGTAATAATTCCTCAAATTTACCGTTTAATGAGCCACCAGGGGAGGGACAAAGAATTAATTATTAACTTATTGTATTACAGACCAGTAGCAGAACAGCTGAAACGTGGAGAACAGGTGGAAGCCGAGAGTTTCGAGTATGTCACCATCTATTTCAGCGACATTGTAGGTTTCACCGCTCTTTCAGCTGTCAGCACACCTTTACAGGTGAGCACTCACTAGCTCGAATAAAGCTCTAAGAAAAATACGACATCATAATTCTTCTATTCTTGCAAAAAAAAAGGAATTTTTTTTATGATGCTTTGAAACATCAAGTTGAAAGGTTATCGTTAAATGTCATTGTATATATGTTATGTACGAGCCTTTTTGTTTTACCTCTGTCACTGTTCATTTAGATGTTAGCTTACATTGTGGTTCGTCTTGTATGGTGTCAAGAAATGAGACTGCATAAGTTTTCATATCGAATCATTGAAGGTCCTATCAGGACAGACTTACTAGATAAAGATATACCTTAAGGACATATCAGGTTACATTAATAGGAACCATGATAAAGGAAACTGTGCCTTTTACAATGGCTTAATACATCAGGTTTCATTGACGAAGATTGTACTTTAGACATAATCAGGTTACATTAATAGGAACCATGATAAAGGAAACTGTGCCTTTTACAATGGCTTAATACATCAGGTTTCATTGACGAAGATTGTACTTTAGACATAATCAGGTTACATTAATAAACCATGATAAAGGAAACTGTTCCTTTTACAATAGCTTAATACATCAGGTTTCATTAACTAAACAGACCATTGGTAAACAAAGTTGTATCCTGTATAACGGGTTAGTTTTGAAATGTTGAGATAAATATCCACCAGTTGTTTTATATTCTGTTAATTTTTATTGCGTATTGTCTCACTAGAACAGGAAATTTTCAGGATTTATAGTGCATAGTGGATTAGTTTTGAAGTTTTAGTAATAAATTAGATAGAAAAAAAAGGCATTTGTTCTCTAGATAATGATAAGTAAAAGCTTTATAGTTCAGCCAGCGTTTCGCCTTTGCGGCTTCATCAAAGGCGAAACGTTGGCTGAAAGAAAAAGCTACTATTTTTTCTTCATTATTATTGGGAGGGTAAAGGTTATTACAAGACTAGGAAGTTACCACACACAACTAATCAGTACTGAAGGTTATGGATGGTGTTGACTTCGTTTTAAGAGACAGACTCAACTTTTCAATAATTAACTGTAACTTAAACATTCCATATTTAGACAGTATCTCTATTACCAGGTTGTTGACCTGCTGAATGACCTCTACACATGTTTTGATTCTATCATCGGCAACTATGACGTTTATAAAGTAGAGACAATTGGGGATGCGTACATGGTTGTAAGTGGGCTACCTTTGAGGAATGGAGACAAGCATGCTGGTGAAATCGCTTCCATGGCATTACATCTTTTAGGGAAGATCCAAAACTTTGAAATAAGGCACAGAAAAGGAGAGCATTTGAAACTAAGGATTGGCATTCATTCTGGTAAGCTATGTACTATTATATTCAGTTGTCATCTACTGTCATATATGAAAGACGTAAGCATCTTTTAGGATAATTCAGAACTTAGAAATAAGGCAAAAAATGGGGCCAATTAAAATTAGGGATTGGCATTCATTTCCGTAATACATTTATTCCTTTCCATTCTTAAAGAGAAGAAATGGGGCAATCTTGGACTTCGAAATAAGACAGAAAGTAAATGGTAAACGTAAGGTAATGTGTTTTGATTAGTCACGATAAATCGTAGAAAAATGAATGAACAATGTGCTATTCACGTTTTACATTTAAAACAAACTGCTCGTGCATCAGAACACAAGTTTTATATATAACAATCATATTTTGCACTTGATGGTCATATATATATGCCCCCCAGTGGCACAGCGGACTTACAACGCTAGAATCCGGGTTTCGATACCCGTGGTGGGCAGAGCACAGATAGCCCATTGTGTAGCTTTGTGCTTAATTACAAACAAACATATATATATATATATATATTTCTTATGTCAACAAAGTTCGTTACAAACCAAATATTATATTGATGGAGTTTATAGTGATTGTAAGTTATTCGATATATTAGCTTCTGCGTGTAATTTTTACGTAATAGCATGGAAAACGACAACTAAATCATTTCTATATAATAACGTTAAAAGGTAAAAGACGTGAATCATGAAAACCGTAAAAACCAACGTTAGCCTAATCACAACATCTAGGGTGTTTGGATGTGCTTTCGTGTATTCGTTATGGTGAACTCATGTAGGTTATGAATGTAAGGTTGTATGAAGTCCTTGTCATGTACTCTAATACGTTACGTCAGTATGGATATATGAAGTCCTTGTCATGTACTCTAATAGGTTACGTCAGTACGATTATACGAAGTCCTTGTCATGTACTCTAATAGGTTACGTCAGTATGATTATACGAAGTCCTTGTCATGTACTCTAATAGGTTACGTCAGTAGGATTATACGAAGTCCTTGTCATGTATTCTAATAGGTTACGTCAGAATGGATATATGAAGTCCTTGTCATGTACTCTAATAGGTTACGTAACTACGGTTGTATGAAGTCCTTGTCGTTAACTCTAGTAGGTTATGAATGTATGGTTGTATGAAGTTCTTGTCGTTAACTCTAGTAGGCTATGAATGTATGGTTGTATGAAGTCCTTGTCATGTACTCTAATAGGTTACGTCAGTATGGTTATATGAAGTCCTTGTCATGTACTCTAATAGGTTACGTCAGTATGTTTGTATTAAGTCCTTGTCATGTACTCTAATAGGTTACGTCAGTATGGATATATGAAGTCCTTGTCATGTACTCTAATAGGTTACGTCAGTATGGTTATATGAAGTCCTTGTCATGTACTCTAATAGGTTACGTCAGTATGGTTGTATTAAGTCCTTGTCATGTACTCTAATAGGTTACGTCAGTATGGTTATATGAAGTCCTTGTCATGTACTCTAATAGTTACGTCAGTATGATTATATGTAGTCCTTGTCATGTACTCTAATAGGTTACGTAGTTGTTATCATATATATATATATATATATATTCCTATTTTTTAGTTTCTTGTCCGATGCCAACATATTTTCTGCTGATCCTGAGTGTTTTGGAATATCCTTAGTAAGTTATATAGATATGGTTATTGTAGTCCTTATCGTGCTCTCTAGCTTACGATATAAAACTGGTCGTACGTAAGTCAACCAAGTAAGATATGTAGCCCTATTAAAACATACAAGTATCAATAATGTAGTCTTGTAATTTACTTCAGCAATGGTAAGTTAATGTGTATTATTGTAGGCTTATTAACTATCTACCTTATGTATCTATGTATTAATAAATGTGTATTCACGCCCTAGGTCCGTGTGTGGCAGGCGTGGTTGGACTAACGATGCCCAGATATTGTTTATTTGGGGACACAGTCAACACAGCTTCCCGGATGGAGTCCTCTGGGGAAGGTAGCAATCTTTAATTCTTCTCTTTCAGATTGCAGCTCCACCTACATACATTAAACATACAGTTTCAGAATGATTCGATGGTATATCTAGCTTCAAAATCCAACAATAACAAAGAAACTGTAGCTTATTTTGATATTTAATATAAACAATTAATAGATACAGTTCGTACGAAGATAAAATATTGGTTCCTGAATATGTAAAAATCCTAAGTATTGTGTTGTTGATTTAAATTTATTTATTTATTTAAAAGTTTTAAGTCATATATTGTTTTCAGTTGAGTGCTTTTAAAGTTTAGATCTTGACGTGAACAATTCTTAGGTTCTAGGGAAAAAAAATGCGAAAATCTTACCTATTTTTGTATTTTTATATCTTTGGTTAACACTAACTGTCATCGATTATCAATGAGAAATCTGACCCGTTTTTAAATTTTGAATCAGAAAATGTGTTTTGTGTGTACTTAAATGTTATCACTCATTTTTAAATTCAGATTTCAAGTGTTTTGTCAAAAGCCTATAATAATTTATCGCATAAATAATTATCAGTATACAATACACAGATAGTGTGTCCAAAGTTAGCGATTATTTGATTTTTAAGTAAGTCATATTAACATTTTCATTCCGGCGTTTCATATTAAATTATATGTCTGTTCGTTATTGTTCACGAAACAATCAAAACTTGAAACTTTTAGCGTTAAAGATTCATGTAAGTGAGGCAACGAAGACGATCCTCGACAAAATTGATGGCTACATTTGTGAAGAAAGAGGACTGATAAAAGTAAAGGTAAAATAAATCTATGTTTATTTAATGAATCTAAAGTTAGATTTTCTGGATCCTTGGCTACTTTTGTTTAAGAAAGAGGACTGATAAAAGTAAATGTAAAATAAATCTATGTTTATTTGATGAATCTAAAGTTAGATTTTCTAGATCCTTGTCTACATTTGTGAAGAAAGAGGACTGATAAAAGTAAAGGTAAAATAAATCTATGTTTATCTAATGAATCTAAAGTTAGATTTTCTGCATCCTTGGATTGATGGCTACATTTGTGAAGAAAGAGAACTGATGGAAGTAAAGGTAAGATAAACAAGAATATATCTAATGAATCTATAGTTAGATTTTCTGGATCCTTGGGTGATACATAAAGCGTTGGGTTGTTATGGATTGGAAGAAGATATACAAACGCTGGAAATCTAGAGGGTTTATTATTTGTGTTTGTGACATATAAAGAAAAAATGATATGTGTAAATAACTATCCAGTTAAGACTAATAACATTCAGCATTGTGATGCTACGAAAATCAGTACGTAATATAGAAGTGGAGACTTGCTAATATTTTCACTTCACCTATTACTATTTCCATACACTATATAAAAACATTTAAACGTATACGGACTCCAAAAGTGTATTGATCCTAATGACCAAGCACGTGTATGCCGTTTCTTTATCATTTGCTGTGTGTTATACGTCTTTGTATCCATATTAGAGGTAATCCCTATATCAGATTACTATTATCTAAACTTAGCAAGTATTACGTTACAGATGAAAACAGTTAAGTAATTTACTCGACACACAATCACACTCACCTATACCAACAGTTCTTCAAACTTCTTCAAACGGCGAAATAATGAAAGGGGAGTTTGTTTCTTTTATCTTCTCAGTTGGGTTAACGATTTCTTTTCTTGTAGCCCCCCCCCCCAGTTGCACAGCAGTATGTCTGCGGACTTATAACGCTAGAAACCGGGTTTCGATACCCGTGGTGGGCAGAGCACAGATAGCCCATTGTGTAGCTCTGTGCTTAATTACAAACAAAGAGAAAATACCAATCACTGAAGTAAGGCAAAAATATGAATTGGTATCAATAGTTATATTGTTCGTGTTTGGTATTTTTAACCTCAACGACATTTTCTACGACACATGTGAAAAATGGCCTAGAGGCCTTAATGTTCAGGCATAGTGGTCCTTAATTTGAGGGAAGACAACCAGCCGCCTACACAGCTACTCTTAAGCGAGCATTGGAACTGACTGTCAGTCTTATAACGCGCTCACAGCTCAAAGTGCGGAGCGTTTTCATCAACATATTGTTGGCTCGAACGTAGGACTTCCGATACGTAGCCCGACATGCTAGCCACTAGACCACTTCCGACCCAACAATTATAAACAAATAAGGTTTAGAAAGATTGTTAATATCTGTCGAAAGAGCTATTCGGCCTGTTTTTGAATTTAATTCCACTACACGTTGACATCAATGTCAAGTAACGTTGTTAATTGTACGGTTACATGTGAAAGTCTTAGCTTATTTTTTGTTAGAAACTTATTAAATTGTACTTGAATTCACACTTATTGAAAAATACATCGACAAATAATTGTCTTAACAAACTGGTTTTTAAATCAGTTAAAGTTTGTCTGTTTCTTATTAAGCACAAAGCTTCACAATCGGCTACCTGTGTTAAACTCTCCACGAATATAAAACCCGGGTTTTAGCGTCATTTAAGTCTTGACTTTCCGCTGAGCTACTGCAGGATTCTGAACGATAACACAGGCAATGATTGGTTTATATTATGAATCAACGAGCACGAGGCACTCTGAAGTCTGGGTGCCCACTTCTTTGTCTTCTTACTAAGCTTACGCTATAGGAGAAATATAAAATGATAAAAACCTTATAACCCGAGCGAAAGGTGGATATTTCTTCTTCAGGGGTAAACTGGAACAAAATAGGGCTGTAGGAGAAATGTCAGAGTTTCAAAAAATCATTAAAATGGGAACCAAAGAAACTTTTGATGCTTTAATGAGTATGACAGAATAAAAACCTTTCAAAGTTGGATAAACCTTTCAAAATTGGATAAACCTTTCAAAGTTGGATAAACCTTTCAAAATTGGATAAACCTTTCAAAGTTGGATAAACCTTTCATAATTGGATAAACCTTTCAAAGTTGGATAAACCTTTCAAAATTGGATAAACCTTTCAAAGTTGGATAAACTTTTCAAAGTTGGATAAACTTTCAAATTGGAAACCTTTCAAAGTTTGATAAACCTTTCAAATTGGATAAACCTTTCAAAGTTGGATAAACCTTTCAAAGTTAGGATAAACCTTTACAAAGTTGGATAAAC